ATTTCTGCCTACCTGTTGCAAACCAGGATGATGACCACCAAGGCGATGAGGAAGACCAGCCCGGCTGCCGAGGAACCGATGATCAAAGGTAGCTTCTCCTGGATGCTGGTTTGATATTCGGCTGGAACGACAGACAGAGAAAAAATAAGATTAAACGAAGCCAGGGAAGGGAAGCCCTCAGCAGAAAAGCCCTTCCTGCTAGTTTGGAAGCCTTAGGATTGCAGAAAGGGAAGACCGGGAGGGAACCGGGGAGGTCATCCAGTCCAACCCCAAGCTCCGTGCAGGGTTTTTAAATGGGATCACGAAATCCTTGAGGGAAAAGGTGGCAAGGGGCCTGGGAGGTCATCCAGTCCAGCCCCATGCTGGATACAGGGTTTTAAAATGGGATCATGACATCCTTGAGGGAAAAGGTGGCAAGGGGCCTGGGAGGTCATCCAGTCCAGCCCCAAGCTCCGTGCAGTGTTTTTAAATGGGATCAAGACATCCTTGTGGGAAAAGGTGACAAGGGGCCTGGGAGGTCATCCAGACCAACCCCATATTCCGTGCAGGGTTTTTAAATGGGATCACGAAATCCTTGAGGGAAAAGGTGGCAAGGGGTCTGGGAGGTCATCCAGTCCAGCCCCAAGCTCCGTGCAGGGTTTTTAAATGGGATCACGACATCCTTGAGGGAAAAGGTGACAAGGGGCCTGGGAGGTCATCCAGACCAACCCCATATTCCGTGCAGGGTTTTTAAATGGGATCACGACATCCTTGTTGGAAATGGTGGCAAGGGGCCTGGGAGGTCATCCAGACCAACCCCATGCTGAGTACAGGTTTTTAAAATGGGATCATGACATCCTTGAGGGAAATGGGGGCAAGGGACCTGGGAGGTCATCCAGTCCATCCCCATGCTCAATGCAGGATTTCCAATGAGATCACAAAATCAGTGGACGGAAAGATTGGAAGGGATGGGAAGGGACCTCCGAGGTCATCCAGCCCATCCCCCTGCCCAGTCCAGAAACCCGTTGTTAAATCATTGACTTTGCTCGCACAGAAGGTCGCAAATGGCCATCACATGACACACACCCCTTCCCCCGAGATGTGGCCACTGTCATAAAAGTGAGTCAGTTGCCAAGCGCCTGAACTTTGATTACAGGGAAGGCCGTGACGGTCGTTAAATGTGAAACACAGTCCTAAGTCCCTTTTTTCCAGTGCTGTTGTAACTTCGGACGGTTAATAAATGAACAGTTTGGGGGGGGGGTCAGCGGAACTCCCTGCCACTCACCTTCCGTCATCGTCTGGAAGTACATTTTCCCGCTATAGCGTCCGTAGCCGGCCACTGTGCGAGCTCGCACCTGAAAGACGTAAATGGTTCCCGCCTTGAGGCCGGGGATGGTGACCGTATTGGTGAAGCTCTTCACTGCCGTGGCATTGAACTCGCTCAGGTCCTACGGGGGGAAAAACCCACAACGGTTATTCCGGTAAACGAGGAGAAGAACAAAGAAGGGAGACGAGATCTTGGGCAGAAAATAACGTGGGTTGGTTTTTGCCTAGCTTTGCCCCTGCCAGGATGGATAATACAGCATCGGGCAGAAAAATCTGAATCTTTGGATTAGCAGGGTCCCCGGGAGGTCATCCAGCCCAACCCCAGCTCGGTAGAAAAACACAAAGATATACATACATACATACATACATACATACATACATACATACATACATACATAC